TTCTCGGTTGTATGCGGAGTCACCAAGGAACCGACTTATAAGTTGGGAACTGACAACCGTGCGAGAGACTCCAGTGTCTATGGTCAGTTTACATGGCGTTCCGTTGACTTCGCCCTTGATGATTAGGCTGTTCCCATCATGAGTTTGTGAGATCGAAATCCTTGGGGCTCTTTTAACATCAGCCAGCACCCGCCAGTTTCCCTGCTGCTGCTGGGCGGTGCTATTATCCGCACTACCCTCTCGAGATCGATCACTTTCCCTTCCTACAGTTCGCTTAGGGCAGCTGGATCGAAGATGGCCCCTTTCTCCACAGCCGTAGCACCTAGGGCTGTAGCTTTTATTGCGGTCCTGAACTTTAGCTGTTGCAACCTCCCTGACGCGGTGGGAACGATGATCCTGCCGCACGGCTTCCACCTCCAGTGCATGGGTCAAGGCGTCCTTAAGCGTCTCGTGGTGCCCGAGCCTCACAGCAGCTCTGACTTCAAGGTCACGGATGCCGTCGATGAATGTCTGCACCAGGTTCCCTACAATAAGCGCAGGTACAGACTGGTACGCTTTTCGAACCAGCTTCTCCACCTCAAGGGCCCACTGCTGCAGGTTTTCGTAACTGCGTTGCACGCGATCTTTGAGCTGCGCACGAAAGACGTGTTCCAGGTGAGCGTCGCCATATCTCGCCTCCAATGCCTCAAGGAGCTGCTCGTAAGTCACTTCCTTACCGAGAGCTTCCAGAACAGTTAATGCCTGGTCGCGCAGGCCTAGGGTGAGAGCAGTCATGGCCTGACTTTTATTCCAGCCGTTCGCTTTCATGACAGCCTCGAACTGGATTTTATAGGCCGACCAGGAAGAAGTCCCGTCGAACGGCGGCACTTTGAATCCACGTAGCGAAGGTGTTGTAGCTACCACGGGAGCTGTAACTCCATCCCCAAGTTTGAGGTCGTCCAGCGTTTTCTTCACATCAGCCATCACGTTGTCAACCCGATTGTTCACTTGGTCGATTCGGGTTTCAGCTTCCGACAGGCGGTTGTCATGTTGAGCAACCCTATCCTTCACCTCCTTTATCTCTTTCCCGAAGGTAGCGTGAAGGTCCTTCCTGAGGAGCATCTGTTCTTCCATACCGCGCTGCAGCTGCTCTTCCAGCCGACGGGTCTGTTCCTCCTGTCGGCGGGCCTGTTCCTCCTGTCGGCGGGCCTGTTCCTCCTGTCGGCGAGCCTGATCCTGCAGCATCATCATCAGAGCACCTAAGTCAGGTGCTGCAGATGCAGGAGCTGCTGACGGGCCAGCCTCCGTGGTTAGCAACTGGCCCTCCGACGTTTGCGGCGTTGCATTACCAAATCGTCTCTGGTCCGTCTCCTGTTGGCGTTGACTTCGGGTACGGATACCCTCCGTGTCGTCTTTAGGTAAAATCGGCATATTTGATCCCACTTCTGACACCAATTGTTACGAGCTTCGGGTTCGAGACAATTAAAAACCGCCGACTGAATTACCAAAATTGACACTTTAATTACACAACACTAATTACAATCAAAAATCACACTAATAATAAAACACAGTTCGCCGTTATTTCGCTTCGAAGTATTCTCTTGTATCGCCAATTCAATACTGCCCCGGTCGTGGTCTATACCGGCCTTATATAGGGCCGCAGATAGTTTCCAGAACCTTCTACTGTAGCGACATCTAGAATGTTCGAGTACATATCGGTCCCGAAATTTCTGGAAGGATCTCGACTCTCCTAGTTCTGCTACTCGACACTAGAGGGCGCTAGTGTGACTAGTGTTGCCATGTACAAGACATTAATAGTGGCGCGCAATACTTTCATTTACTCGACACTAGGGGGCGCTAGTGTAACTAGTGTTGCCATGTACAAGACATTAATAGTGGCGCGTAACAATATCCCTCTACAAGATGCAGGAGTGTACAAGCTTGATTGCGAATGTGGTCTCTCTTACATAGGACAAACAAAAAGATCCTTCCCCTGCGACCCCGCGTGAAAGAACATATAGCTGATGTGAGATCTTAATATATTAACACAATGGTTTCATGATAAAGGATTAGTTATTAACGCTAGCAAGACCAAACTAATGTATATTAGTTCTAGTCATAATAGGAGTAAAGTCATACCTAGCATTATTGTGCATGATCACCTATGCCTTCACAAAGGACAAGAATTAGAACCGGTAGAAACTCAAACTTACTTAGGACTTGTAATAGATAGTCGCCTAAACTGGAAACATCATATTGAGGTTGTATGTAATGGACTCCGAAGCATGTTAGCAAAATTCTCCATAATAAATATAAAGTCCCCTATAGAATTCTGTTACAATTATATAAGCACTGGCCGAATCTAAAATTTCATATGCCTTGTCTAGTTATGGGCGAACTTACAAATCACATTTAGATAACATTTATTCATTGCAATTACGCATCTTAAAAACTATAGTTCCAGACAACGTTAAAAACTCACACAGCGATTCTGATTACCATAACCTATTCGATTACTGCAAAATTATACCGGTGCATAGAAAAGTAGAATATACTCTATAAAATGAATAATTTTTTAACGAAGATTTAAAAAAATATGTCATCTCTAATTATTCTAAAACCCGCAGTTCGGCCAAACCAAAATTAGCTAAACCTAATTATAACAATTTATACGGAAAACGTACTTTAGAATACATGGTTCCAAATTTGATTAATCAGTTACCAACCTCTTTTCAAAATAAATAAAATTAATCATAAAAATATGAAATACAAATTAAAAACGAACGATACGTACGAACTACTATACGAACTGTCTATATCAGACTTCAAACTAAAAAAAAAAACTATAATCCCCACTAACTATATTGCCTAAATAAACCTGTATGACATATAAACAAAGAATAATTATTATACTCGTCTACTATTAAATATTATCTCCATTATTATCAATATATTTTTATCACCACCTGTATACGCCACGCAGGATCGACCGGTTTTTGACGCAGCAAAGTGGGCGGTGGCAAGACTCACGTCTTTTAATACACTATTAGTTAATTATGTATTGCCGATTTACCGCCTGTTGACTGTGCCAGTTGCTGTTTAATAGTGTTGCGTTATACATATTTTGTAGATTAAGGTGTAGCTTATCTGTCAAATTTTAAGTCGGCGGCTTGTGGTACACGGTAAAGTTTTCAGTAAGCTTATGTTGTACCATAATATATTATCTGTATTATCTGTAATTTGTTAAAAAAAAAATTTAAAAAAATTAATAAATTTGTATTATTTTACTTAATGGAACTACCTTGGGTTTAAAAGTATTAAAGTGGGTCACGAAGGTACAGTGTGAAAATTATCGGGCCATGGCAGAATAATGTTTGGGAAACATTGCTTGTTAATTGTGATGCAATACTTTTAATATCAGTTTCTTTTATAAGAACTCCGAGTGAGTCCCTTCATCATCATCATCATCATTACAGCCCTTCACAAGCCCACTGCTGAACATAGGCCTTCCCCAAGGAATGCCACAAAGCACGGTCCTGAGCCACCTGCATCCATCGACTTCCTGTATGTCTTACCGCATGTACCGAAGATATCTGTAGTAGAACCAGAGTGACCGACATAGCCCAACGGATTAGTAAGTTGAAGTGGCAATGGGTCGGCCATATAGCTCGAAGAACCGACAACCGATGAGGAAAAAAGGTCCTCTAGTGGCGACCGGCGGACGAAGTGTAGGGCGTTCCCCCACTAGATGGAGTGATGACCTGGTAAGACATGCAGGAGTGAGTCCCTTGGTGTAATATATTAAATAGCACAAATAGCTCTTTTTAAATGACCCAAAAAAGGACTTTCTCACTACAACATTATTTTTGTGTACATGTTATGCGATATTTTCATTAATTGTGAACCGATTTTTAATAATTCTTTTTTGAAACGATATGCTTAACCGTCACTACACGTTATAACGAATAAAACGAATAAAACACGGATAAAACGAATAAAACTAATAAAACACGGATAAAACGAATACGCGACACTAAAAAGAAAAACATATACATCTATAGGATTTAGTCTGCGAGAGAATATTATATTAAATTAGTCGTGTTTATGCCATCAGGTGTCTATTTTACCACCTTGAGAGTCAATCAATTTATGTTCGATAATATAACTTTACATGTAGAATGAAGTAGATGGCGCTATTACAAACCAATTTTACTCGGATGAAAATATTATTTTGTTTTATTACACTAAAATTTTGGCTCTCCATGTCTAAAATAAGGATTGTAACATTTGTTTGCTATAAAATTAAACTTTTATCTTATATTTTATGAGGCACCTGTGATAAAAAATAATCATATTAAATAAATCATTTACCGTGAAATATTTTTATTTTATAATTCATTTCATTTAAAGGTTTTACTTCTGCCGCGTGTGAACTGCACGCATGTTTTTTTTTTTTATTAAATAGTCCATACATTTAGGGACCATAGTATATTAAAATTTTAAGAAAAAGTTGTACCCTACTACTAATACTAACCGACTACAAAAACTACGAAGAGTAAAATAATTTCTACAAAATTTAAATGTTATCCGATCCGTTATATATGTGTATATTTACAATATCAGCTGATGATCCCCAAAACAATAATCCTTAATACAGCACACTTTGGAAATAGTTGAAACAAGCCAATTTTGTTGTAGCTTAACAGCCTTATTTTAACTGAAATATATAGCGGGAACTAAGGCCGGTATTCATAGACATAGACAATTCAGAGTTTAAACTCGAAGAGATCATGTAAAAGACTATAACTACCTCAACGCCTTTTTCAGAGTTTAAATGAGACTCGGTGCAAAAGTTCGTCAATATGGATTACACTCTCTTCTGACAACTGAAGAATTTTTCGAAACAGTGGTAAAAGTGAAAATTACTTTCATTCTATAATGAACAAAAATGTTCAGTTCTATTCTACGCTAATTTCTTTTAACATTTAATCTTTCAATCAAAAACTAATTACTATACTTACATTATTGTCTATTTCTTTGATAGGTGTGCGCTCTATCGGAAAGTTGGGGACATTTATGGGCAAAGATTGTGCAATATTTGCGGCTACGATGCCACGTGGGCGGGAAATGTGAATGCCCTCGTCGTTGCTGCCCTCTGAAAAAAAATTTAAAAAATTATTGCCATCTTCTACCCATAGAAATGTTTATGGTACCACTAGTACAGCCACATTCTCCCATGTTTAGATTTGTAGTAAGTCATGCTTACGTTAGTCAATTATTGCGAATAAACTTGGAAGTATGAAAACTTTACGATCAGTTAAAGAAGGAGTATTAATAATATATGTATCTTAAGGCCTTTTCTAGATCTAGAAAAGGCCTATGATAGAGTGGTGAGGAATGAATTGTGGTCAGCACTGTCCGTGAACGGTGTGAGCAGTATCCTCATACGAGCAATGCAATCTCTTTATAGGGATTCTAGTGCTTGTGTAAGGATAAACGGGGCATACACTGAATGGTTTAATATCGAAAAAGGTGTTAGACAGGGATGTGTAGCGTCACCGTGGCTGTTTAATCTGTTCATGGACAATTGTTTGACAGATTTAAAAGAGAATGAAAGTGGGTTGAGAATGAATGAGTTACTCGTCAAATGTTTTCTCTATGCTGATGACCAAGTATTACTTGCGTCTTCGGCCGAGGAGTTGCAGGAGATGGTAACTGCTATGAGTGGAGCTTTTGTTAGAAAGGGAATGAAGATAAATGTAAGGAAGACGAAAGTGATGGTGTTTGAAAAAGATGAGGCAGTGACAGACTGCAACATTGTGATTGAAGATGAACAAATTGAACAGGTGAAAGAGTTTGTGTATCTGGGTTCAAAGTTTACAAGAGATGGAAAGTGTGAGAGTGATATCGAAAGAAGAGTGAATGCAGGAAATATGGTGAATGGAGCTTTGCACTCCTTTATGAGCAGTCGGAAGGTGTCTAACAAGGCTCGTTTGGCTGTGCATGAGGGGGTGTTGGTTCCGACACTCATGTACGGAAGTGAAACTTGGGTATGGCAGAAGAAACATGAAAGCAGAATAAATGCAGTTGAGATGAGAGCATTAAGAAGTATGATAGGAGTTAAACTGAGTGACAGGCTAAGAAATAGTGAGATAAGGAAACATTGTGGTCTGAAAGAAGATGTAGTGACAAAAATTGAGAAAAGTATGCTGAGATGGTTTGGTCATGTCGAGAGAATGAATGAAGAACGATTGACGAAAAAAGTGTATAAGGCGAGTGTGAATGAAAGTGTTGGAAGGGGTAGACCTAGGCGAACATTTCTAGACCAAATCAGCGACGTCTTGAAAAAAGGCCAGGTCAAGAGTACCCTAAACCGTAGAGCATGTATGAAGGGAATAATGAAAGTGGACGAAGCAAAACAAGTATGTAAGGATCCTAGCAAGTGGAAAGAACTGGTCTCTGCCTACCCCTACGGGAAAGAGGCGTGATTATATGTATATATGTATGTATCTTAAATTCCATTTCCAAAGCACTTTTGCGATCTCAAAAACCCCTTACACGTACTATTACTGAACGTAGTTATTTTAACAAATATCTGTTTGATGGTCTGTTCGGAGGTATGAGTATGACAGGGCTAAATATCCCGGTACGCTTAAGTCGCTTCCCGAGGTGATCAGTATTATCACTTCAATTGCAGTATAGACCTCAAATGAGATTGTGTAGACTCTAAATGATAACGTATACGATAATATCGGCTCGATGCAGTATCCGATCATTCGGTTCCGGCGTTGCTGGAACGCGGGTCCGAATCCCGCACGGAACATGTAATTGTATAGCCTACAAATATATGTTCCGGGTCTGTGCCATGTGTCATTTTTTTAACTATGTAGTGGCGTTGTAAGAATATCCATATTATTCCATGGGTGCCGTAAGAGACGGGAGAGGGTTACAAACTTGGAGATGGGCAGCATCGTCTTAAAATAAAAAACTGCGGTTGCAAAAATATATTTTGACGAGGTGGTGCCATGCTGCAGCTATATTATGTTATTCTTTGATTTCTCGTTTAATTAATGATTGACTGAAACCTTACGTATTTTCTTATGTTTGCGACATTAGCGCATTGCACTTAATAGTTAATTTGTGAATAGCATTATGGATTATACATTTACTTAATCTCTGACGATATATAATTGATTTCTTATATTTACGCGAATACTACACATTAAATAATGTTAATACTTAAGTTCTGGTCTGATCTACGCAGACACACAGGCTACAGGACCAAAAATTAATATTAAAAGACTGAAGATAACCGGGCTAACATTAACATCGGGACGTCAAACACCTCAGCCCCACCGTGACCGTGAGTGCTGTAAAGCAACCGACACATCCGGAATAAAAAAGTTTAAATTAAACGCGATAAAATCCGTAAAATTTGTTTCATTTCATATATAATTGTATAAATTCATATTATAGTGTAAAACTGTTAGCTGTTCCTTTGGAATAAAAAATAGAAACAGTTGTAGCACGAATTAGTTGACTCGACCAGGGAGGGAACACTCCTCACAGAATACCTGCGTAAAATAGTAGTTTGACGCTGCTGTGTTTCGTGTGGTGAGTGTAGAGAATCGGAGACACCATTTTACTGGAAACGACGCATTCCATCTTAGTCCCCAGGGGTTGAGCCGACCCATTCGTGCTGCATCCATAATATAGCTGTAGCATGGCTATACCACGTAAAAAACTTGAAATCGGTTATAACGATATTGAAGAGACTATTCAACTCCAGACGCTATATCCGATAGTTTTTATAAACAATAATTGTATTGTCCCCATACTCGACTGATACTCAGACATTTCGTCGCAATAACCGATCCGTCGTTCTAAGCGATGTTGGTAATATCCGGTTATGACTAGATTTGTTGCTAATCTGAATAAGTACGTGGGCAATGACCAAAAGTTGATATGCGCGATTCAAATACTCGTACATTAACAGGCCGCAGTACACAGCGAAACCACTCAAATAGGACGAATCTCACTGACAGCCAACAATGACGCAATGATGCGCTACATACTCGTTAGAGGTTTGCTAGTCAGATGACAAAGAATTGAATAAGCCGTTGCCTTGGCATATAAGCCGTTGCTTTGGATAATGCCGTTTGAATAATGGTAAAGGATGTGGACTGCCCGCTTAAAAATACGTGGGTTCGAATCCGCCATTCGACAACTGTCGTGGACCACTCAAAGCATTTTAAATTTGTCAGGTTAACAGGAATATTAACAGAGTTAATAACATTACCAGCTAGTATTCATTTGAAAAAAAAAGTGACGCTAGGCTCACATGACTGCAACGAGTGGTTTTGGCGAACCCAATCTGGATGCGATTTGTTGGAGCACAGCCAACAACAGAAGTTTTGGTGTTACGAGGTGCCACTCTCTTCATCCTTCCCAACTATAACGGCGGCGGAAGTGTCGACATAATGAAACGCTTTCCTTACTCTTCAGAGCGGAAATGAAGTCGGCGTCGGACACAAAGACCAGATCTGCCCTTGAGACCAAACTAAAACCAAGAATTTACAAAAATTGCCAAAGTGTACATTATATTTTTTTGGGATTTTTTTATGAATGCCCGAATCTAGTGCCGATGGTAGATTCTTAAAAGGCTAGAAAAACCTGCAGTTGATTTGATTAGGATGAAAGTGACGATGGCGATGAAGATGACGACGAGGAAAATGATGTTACTGAGTGTGAGTTGTATCTTACTGTCCTAGATTACCTAGGCTTAGACCTAGTAATATAGTAAATTAAAAGTGGAATTGAGGAAGGATAGGCAAAATATTGGATTGTTTTACAGGAAACACTTACGATCTGTATCATAGTCGTCTTGATCAGAATTCATATTATCATGTGAGTCCATTCCATCCAAGTCAAAAATATCTTCAGCATCCAGGGAGTCTTCTTCATGTGGAAGTTGTATGTTAGTCTGAAAAGTAGAAAGAATATTTATAATTAAAAGTTTAAATTTTTTTGTGATTAACGTACTGCCATTTGTGGGTGCTATTTCATAAAATGCGTTCTTGGTAATTTTTAACATGCCAAAAAGAATATTCTGGCTAAGTTTTACACCTATAAGAGCTATAGTTTAAAAATGTATATATTTTTTAATTAATTAACACCCCCGTAACCTCCCTAGTGGGTGGAATTTCTTAAAATCCGTTCATAGCTGACCTGTACTCGGGATTTTGATTAGATACCGACCGATATTGTGACCTATTTAAACAATAAAAGAAACTACAATCATTGTATTTTTTAAACTTTATTAATCAAGTTTTTATGGCAATTATAAATTTTACTCAAAACATAACTATCTTTGCAAAAAAAACAATGCACGTATCTTAGATGTACCAAATTAAATTCAGCAGAAATGAATGAAAATTCTAGTACTTATCTGAACTAGATCATCTTTTTATTCATAATTTTCATCACTGTCGCTTACAATGTCTGAATTTGAGTAGGACGTTATAGAAATCGTGGTATACTCTATCTATATAATATGGCAGAAGACTCTTTTATGTCATTATACTTTTTTGAGCATATTGGCATATACCACTCAGTAAGGTCTTATTACCTCGTTTGAAAAAAGAATAGTATCTGAAAGGTTTACCAGTCTCTTATGATACTTTGAATGCTATTTTTTTTTTGAACCTTTCAATAACAGAAGCCAGAAAGTAGTGTCATGTAAATTATTGTTTCTCAGTATTGTTACGAGCTTGGGGTTCGAGACAATTAAAAACTGCCGATTGAATTACCAAAATTGACACTTTAATTACACAACACTAATTACAATCTAAAATCACACTAATAATAAAACACAGTTCGCCGTTATTTCGCTTCGAAGTATTCTCTTGTATCGCCAATTCAATACTGCCTCGGTCGTGGTCTATACCGGCCTTATATAGCGCCTCAGATAGTTTCCAGAATCTTCTACTGTAGCGACATCTAGAATGTTCGAGTACATATCGGTCCCAAAATTTCTGGAAGGATCTTGACTCTCCTAGTTCTGCTACTCGACACTAGAGGGCGCTAGTGTAACGAGTGTTGCCATGTACAAGACATTAATAGTGGCGCGCAATACTTTCATTTACTCGACACTAGGGGGCGCTAGTGTAACTAGTGTTGCCATGTACATTTATTACTACACTTAGACATTACTACATTTACATTAATAGTGGCGCGCAACAGTATCAATGATTATTTTCATAAATGTGGATTTTAAAAGTTGAGAGAAGCCAAAAAATCTTCTTGTGTCATCATTTTGCCTGTCTATCTGCGACTTGTCATTTGTATAACATTTACGCAATCTTGGAGCACTGAAATAGTCACTCGGCGGTGTTTCAAAAATCTCTCTATTGCTGTGTGATCACTGTCACATTCTAAGTGCTTATGGCCAGGCACTAAAACATGTGATGTTAATCTATCAAATTAGTTTTACGATTTACGGCTAGCTCAAACATTACAGAATATTATTAACATTCTGCCTTGGGCAAGTATCGCAATAAAAAACTATCTCTCTGGTAAGTCCATGATGAATTGCCACAGAAAACATGCAACCTTATCGGCTCCCCTTTGCGCAATGCCTTCGTACCAAACAAAACAGCACGTTTCTTTTGTCGTTATGTTCCGAATAGTTAGGTAAAGGTCCATAATTTTCTTTTGTAAAATGATATTCCTGCAGACCAAAAAGGAGTTACTAAACATTTTTGAAGATCAAATGCAGCACTATAATTTTGCTTTCACTGTCTTTACTTAATTCTTTATCTGATCTTGTCGCACTATAATGTAATTCTGCTTTCTTCTGGTGTGCAGTCTTTTCTTCTTCTAAGTTTTCTTTCTTCTATTCGTCCTAACAAGTTTTGCAGGTATCATTAGGTTTATTAAATTTTAAATTTAGTGACTTAAATACGTTCCGAAATAAACTGCAGATCACTGGACGCAAATGTTGTACCTCACTGTTGTTCTTTGCAACATCTTTTGTGTACAGGTGGTATAATGACATTATCATATTTAAATCCTGGTCTTGAGTAATGTCTTTCGTAGGCAAGAAACTTGTTAATGAAGTCCTCAACATTTTCATATCCGCATCGGAAAGTTTGTTGGCTGGATGTCGTGTGCCTCTTCTATCTGCTTGCACAACAGATGACGAGACACAATTTTTTTTTTATTTACGACATCATCAATAAAACCTTTAGTTTCACCAAAAGTTTTCATGAAACTGTTTTTACAAACACCTCATTCTATTCCACCCACTGTATATATTACTTTGACTTCTCTTTTTTTTTTGTTACTTTAATTGCGATTCGTAATACGTTCTTTTGGTTTAATAGTAATGAAACCTGCTAAATATTGTTTTTGTGCATTTCTGGATGACAAGTTTCTGTAGTCTTTATAGAGTAGACTTAAATCAAGTAGCTCCAGTTTTTGTCAACACTGCGCCCTGCAATTGTCTGAGAAGCCACCGTTGTTTTTTTTTTTAATATGCCTTACCTTTGGCAGTTTTATATACTTCGCCTTTTCTACGTTTTTCGTTGCGTGCTTTTCGCAGCTTCCTTTGGAAAGGACCGTGCCCTTCCTTTCTTTTTCTAATTAAATAAGTGAAGCCGTCATTAGAAATGGGACTACTGTACGAGAGGGTGATAAAGCCACTTTCACCTAAAAAAGACACCATGAAGTTGTTACGATGCGCGCGCACAGCTCAAAACGACAACTTCATTGGGTAACTGTCTCTCAAGTTTTCGTGGGAACAGATAACTCTATTTAAGGTAGTTATTTTTGTTTTGTTACGCTAAAGAAGTATAACTTCCTACGTGCGTATATAAGTACACACACACGTCTTTCATTTTAACCTTTTGAGTGGTCGGAATATCACAATGTCAAGGTTACAACTGGAATGTCTAAATGGTTATATACGAGTAGAATCTTCTCCTTTTTCGAACTTGGTTGATAAATATTAGAACTTGTATACTGCACCAATTCGATATAAAATTCACAAAAAAGTAGAAACCATACACAATAGTATATCCATAAACATATATTCATTACCGGTAGTCAATTTACTAAGCAGCCAATGAGAAACCGATGAAAAACATTTCTATTTCATTTCATTCAGTTTTGTACTATATATTTAACATTATTTATATTTTAAAATAAATAAAATGTACTTTATTTGACTTTCATACTGCTAATTACTATAAAAAAACTTGAAATTTAATACTAATTATATATCCTGCACCAAAGAAGTTTCCCCAGAAGTTAACTGTTAATTAACTGCAGCAGTTATGTGCAATCATATAAGCTTATCTTCTGTGACTATTTGTCTCTCTTTTGGATCAAAAAATGGTTATTAACTGTTTGAAATTTTTAGAATAGTTACCTTAGTAATATTCTGTGATATTTTTTTGGCATCTTTAATAGATGACAGTCTTCGTCTCTGTTGTGGAGGTAGTAATGGTGAGAGAGGTTCATTATCATTACTTGAATCCATTCTGCAATCATCATTTTCTATGTTGCGCCTTGCTTTGTTTACAATACTGAAATAATATACATTTGAAAACTGTATAGTTTCATTGCATGTGTATTATGTCAAAATAATATGAATTCCCCAATACAAGCTTACTTATTAAATAAATAAAGTGGTGGTGACCTAAAATATTCCACAAGTCTAAATATGAAATTAATGTTTCCATACTATAAAAAGTCAGGAAACCAACCACATATAAACTGGCTATAAAAATAGCATCTATGTTGAGGCCTGGTAACTTGTAACTCAGTTTTTAATTACCTATTTCAGGCACCAGCAATCCATAGCCTTTTTTATTATAATACATATAACCCTAATGCATTGTGGTTTTGTGGTGAGAAAAATAAATACATTTCCATTTTTATTTTCAAAGATAACAAGGTGTAAGTAATTATAAATACAACACCATCCAAGACCTTCATCAGTATTAGAGTTAAATCAAGAGTGTAAACTACCCAAGTTAAAATGGATTAAAAGTCACTGCTGGGGTGCCTAACTTGATTTTTACATGAGTAGAGTGTAGTGTTGCCAGGTGTCACGATTTGCGCGGGACGTCCCGATCTTCCGATCTTTGATCGGGACGCCAAATGTCCCAATTTTTCACTAAACTCTTTATTCTGTACTTCGATCTATAATTTTGACTGTAATTGTGGATGTTACTACATTAAAGTATTTTGCTTTGACATTCAAATATTTTCTTACCAAAGTCGAATAAGTAGTCAACATAAAAGCTTTACGCGCCTATTGTGTTGGCGGGATACAGATATCATTTACGCTGTCCCGTTTTTTTCTCGCGCCTGGTGCCGCTCGCCATTTATTATTTCATTCTTATGTAAATAATTATACAGTACATAAATTACATGCTACGGTTTAGATAAGTACATTAGAAAAATGTAACAGTCTTGTGGGTTAGTTCTTCCAGTGGGTAGTTAATTTCTTCAAGCGGTTGTACTGTCGCTTTCAATACATAAAGTGACATTTTGCGTGCGACACAAAGATTTTATCGTGGCGTTTGAGGTAAAAATTTGATTATAAATGAATTCCTGCTTTTTTTAGGGTTTTTAAGTGCAAAAAAAAACAAATCGTTCAACAAGTCTTGCTTTGCCGGGAAAATAAAACGCACACAGACGAATGTGTAGTGTTTTCGATATTTGGATGTAAAATTATTTGGTCATTAGACCAGTCTGAATTTTGGTTACGGCGGCTAGCCTCAACGTAGTTATGTCCTGTTTACATTCACTAGATCAACGAGGCACTACCACAAAATAATTTATAAAGCATATTGCACATTGTGTCAAGAAGACTAATATAACTCATGGCAGCCAAAATGGCCACAATAAAACTATTTTTGTAGCCATTATAACTATCCCGATTTGAAAACCAAATTCCGATTATTTGTACCTTCCGTCCCGAAATTTTAACCACTGGTACTGGCAACACTAGCAGAATAGAAAATTGGCTCTAACTTTATATATATACTAGCTGTTCCCCGCGACTTCGCCCGCGGGTAATTTAGGGTTTTAATTTTATTGCGCGGAACCCTAATTCTTTTTCTAAAATAAAAGTAGCCTAAGTTACTCCTTATAACATCAGCTATCTATCAGCGAAAGTCCTGTCAAAATCGGTCCAGCCGTTTCGGAGATTAGCCGGAACAGACAGACAAAAATTTTAAAAATTGTGTTTTTCTTATAAGTACCTTTAATATGCGTATAGTAAAAAGCTGTTATTTTTTTTGACATTACAAACAGACACCTGAATTTTATTGATTTTTGTATAGATAAAACAGTTATCAGGGTAACCATTCACACCGCAGCTATAAATGTGACTTACCTAGATAAAATTTTATGATCCCTTTGGGCTCTTTCTTTGTATGCTTCAAATTCTGCATACTTTTGATCTCTAAACTGTCGGACGGTTTCTTCAATTGCCTCTAGCTGTGACTGCAATGTCTGGTTAAGTTGTTTACTGAGTGTTCCTAATGCTTGCATTGCCGGAGTGTAAATATTGCTGGGATTTGTAACCAGATTATTAGTATCAACATTTTCTTTCATTCCAATATCATTTGTAACTTCTGGCAGTAATAAGTTGAATACTGGAGAAAAATTGGTCGACTTTTTCTGATTGTTTACCCTTTCCAGTGTTGTCTGTAGGGAGTTAGATTTATCAATTAGTCATATAATGACATTTAGATATTTTATGCTAAAAGATATCAAAAAAGATGAATTTGAAATACCATTTTCTTAGTGACTTTGTTTAAATCAATTTATTTTCCCCACAATATTTCATCACATCACTGGTTGACTGGCAGAGAAATGCAGTTAGGGCATTAAGTTCACCATTTGTTACCTCACTCATAAGATGGAATTACCTTACTCATTGGTGAAATATTAGTTTAATTAAATCAATATTTGTAAGTATATTACACTACTTCTACATTTGCTTATATTAATTACAGTTCCCTCAAATATATATTTTCAATAGAAAATAGACATTAAAGTCAGAAAACACCAATTAGTCCAAAAAATTTAAAAGTAAATAATTGAAGAAATTGGTAAGTAATATTTATTTAAGGCCAGGTGATATTATCGAAGTTAAAAGCAATATCTCATAACTTAAAAACACAAAATCCCCAAGTTGTGATGAAGTACAAAAAAAAAAAAAAAATATATATATATATATATATATATATATATATATATATATATATGTATATAAATATATGTGTATATTAGGATACATCAAAGAGTAGTAATAGAATAGACAGATACTGAACTAATGATAGTTTTTACAAACTGAAAGAAAATGGTGTCACACTGTGGTATTTTCCTTGCGTTTAACATTTTATAATTGTGATAGCTTTTAAAAGAAAAATCTGACTCAAATAATTTAAAGAGGGATTTACATCTACACAAACAACCTTGATTATGAAATTATTTATCTGGATAAGGGTTAATACCATGATTCTAATTGTCACTTAACCTTATATTCGAGTTGTATAAAGATGTTGATACATTCTATAAATGTCTGGTACCTTATCTTATTCTACTGCCAATAGTTCTGCAGTGTATACCAAGCTATGAGTTTTATAGGCAATTTTCTGATACCTTGCTTACAAAATTGAAATTTCCTTAGGGATCCTTATTTAAAAAAAAATATATAGTCTATGTTATTCACTAATAATGTAGCCTTTTTCAGGTGTAAGAATTTTTAAAATAGATTTTTTTTTAATAAGAAAAGTGTGACAATCGAGCACACAGTCCACCTGAGGATAAGTGGTTGCTGTGGTCCATTGACATCTACATCTTTTTTTATAGGATAGGGTGACAAACAAGCACACAGTCCACCTGATGGTCCACCCATAGACATCTACATCTATCCTCAATAAAGACTCAAGAAGCAGATGCGTTGTCACCCGTGAGGACTAAGATGGAATGCCCCTTTTCCAGTAAAAAGGGTCTCCGGTTCTCTACACTCACCATACGAAACACAGCAGTGTTAAGCTACTATTTTACGTTGTTTTTCTGTGAGAGCATGGCATTCCCCGGTCGAGCCAACCCATTCGTGCTACAACTGTACTACTAATATAGCTGCAATATGGCTCTACCACATATAATTTAATATTTTTAGATTTTATTCATTACAAACAAAAAAAAACAAATTTTTTATTGTAGTATAGTATAGATAACAAAGGAGTATTTCAATTGTTTAGTAAAAAATTCTCATTTCAAGTGACTTAGTTATGAGAAAACACAGTAAAAAAATCATGTACAATTTTTTCTGGGCACCTCTTTAAGGATAATTTATTATTTTAAGCATAATATATCCTCTTTCCACCAATATTTCTTGTGAATAAATTGATTATTACAGTTAATAACCTACTAAACAGACATTAGCACATCAATGGTCCTCTATTATATATAGTACTCCCTCGATGACTGTCATAAAGCACAATCCATCAGCCACCTTTTCAGGTTCACTTCTGAGTTCTGAGCAAGGGACTTTCCAAAAATGTGGTACATGGCTATCAAAACATTGTTTATACTCATATCCTGGACAAGAAGGTTGGGAAGGCTACTTTACTTAATATAGCTTTGTACTAATAATGCTGGTCCCAAACCAGTCTTTGAAATTTAGCTTCAGCATATTTTTTGTTTGATATGAATTGAAATTTGGTTTTTCAACATCAGCTGGTTTTAACCAGAGCCTTCTTTGTCAATCAGCCGAATGCTACCAAAAGCAATTGAGATTGACATCTGTTGATAAAGGTCGCATATTCTCCCTTACACACCATAGAAATAAAAAGTAAACTGATATCATATTTACTTACTTGTGTAGACTTGCAAATGAGTATATTTGTTCCATCTTGAGTGATAGCATGTGTAGTCTGCCCACAGGCAAGGCAATACTCAACCTTCCAACAACCTACAGTTCGTTGTCCTACTAATGCTGGCTGAGCTATATGACTTTTCATAGCATTTACAGAACATGACAAAAGTTTCTGAAAGTACACAGGAAAAGAAGTTTCTTTTAATATAAAATATAGCCAAAACATAAACAAAATCTATTTAAGGTGTATATGTTCTCCTCAATTATTTATATATATATAACACGTAACATAATTAACGCACATCCTGAAAGTAGTTTGTTCAGAATTGTTTACTGAATCGATTTCTATCATTTTAATATAGGTAATTTTTTACCCAAAAAATAATTGAAACTACGTAATTTACAGTCACACTAAACCTGTACAGTCAAAACAAACTGAAATGGATCGTAACTCAAGGCAATAAGACTTTTAAAAAAGCAGTTTTATTTGTACAAATTCTAAATTACATTCCATTACAAATTCCGTCATTCAATACAAAATAAAGGAAATTGAACCTTATTTCAAGTATGTTAAGTAACTTTACAAATACAGAGTTTGGAGTGCCTTATAAAGGTCGCGGCGGCCCTGTCCATTGACCTCCCAGATCAGCTGATTTGACGCCTCTTGACTTTTTTTTATGGGGATGTATTCAATCATTTATTTATTTTAGTGAGACAACAAGTGTCTAAGGACCTAAAAATAGGATAGTGAACGCTTTTAGAACAGTGAAAAATGACACAGAATTGCTTTCTAAATATTTTCCTTTCTTTTTTAAAATGTAACCTCCACACTAGGATTTTCTCTTGTATTGTGGGGGCAGTTTACAAACATAAATTGCACAAGGACAAACATCCAGACCTGGAACAACTATTTGTAGGCCATACAAATACTTGTTCCGTGCGGGATTCGAACCCGCGGCCCTTCAATTGCTAAGCCACTGCGCCACGGAGCCGTGATGGACATTTTGAAAGTGTATTAAAATACAACTCTGCATGAGAGTTTAGGCTATCAATAAGTTAAATATTTGATTCTTAAAATTGTTGTAATCTTGATTCACATCTTTTAAACATGCCGTCTTTTAATTATGTTGACGTATCGCCTCTTATTTTTAGCAGTTCATTTATTATTTACAATTACAATTAAAATGTTATGCCAATTCATAACATTTTGTTATGAATATTGCCCATTGACATTGTATCACAATCAATAAACAAAATTATTCAGTCGAAAGTCCAAAGCCTGAAAAGTGTGATGGAAAGATGCAATCAAATGTTTACTAGACTTAAATAAACAACTCAATGCACAGAGTTCTGACATTTGATAATGTTCATAGGTAGGTATTTCTTTAACGTAACCAATCATGTATTGTCAGCTTTTTTCAGCACTAATACCTACCTACAGTTATGTCAAACGGCAGCGGCATTAACTCGTCTCGAACGCAAGCGAATACCTACTAGGCTAGCAAGACCTGTACCTAGCGTTCATGGACTTCTACGGTAACCACAACATTCTTCCGGAATTAGTATAACTAACTTAATAAATAATCAATGCATAAAGATGTTTAACTAAGAATTCAGTGTATGTATTATGATTATAACATAATATACTAATTGGGGTGTCTGAGGATGTACATTAATTACGTTAGATGTTGTGTATACACAGGCAGAGGCTATGGACTTTCATTTGGCACAATCCTGACACAAGTGTTCTCAATTAGTAGAAGAAAAAATATATTCTAATAGAAGTGTAAGGAACATTGTATTAAGTATATGCAGTATGAAAAATATTCAATAATACAACAAGTAACATAAAATTCCCTTTTAAGGACTCGAATTATCACAGATTTGGATGGAGTTACGATAGGTAACACCATTAAATCAAGAATTTATTATCAAAGAAATCGAACAGAATTTCGACTCATAAACATAACGAGTTACATAACTTTCGATCTTAATAAAGAGACGAACTATGCAAATCACCAAAATAACTTTGTTTAGTACTGAAATATACCAGTTTACTGTAAATGCTTTAATGTATATTTAGACAAGCAATTAGTATGTCATTATCGAATCGTTAATTGCGTTAAAATTAAAACAATGTTTTAACTATAGTAATACTAATTTAAAAATTCATGTTTACAAAATATACCTCTTTGAAAAAAGTATCTCTTTGTTCCGACGGAGATAATTCCAATTTTTCTATATCAACAGGGTCTTCTATTTTGTCACATTCTAATGTTACATTGAGGCATTTACAAACAAAGAGAGCCATTTTGACAGATATTAGTCGTAAAAGGAGTAAAAACAATTAAAAATACACAAGAACGCAGTAAATTTATTTTACAAAGTAGTTCGATTGATAATAATAAACGCTAGGCTAGGCTTGGGCAAAAAATATCGATATATCGAAATATCGATATTTTTAAATAAAAATATCGATATATATCGTCGATATTTTAAATCGCGATATATCCATATTTATTTTAGATTATCGAATTCGTATCAATTTCGATTATTTTTTTCCGTCGTCCAACCGTCAGTAAATAAAATTTTTGACCTTATCTTTACATAATGCAAATGTTGACGATATATCGATATATGGATATTTATCACGCGATATATATCGATACTGTTTAAAAATATAGATTCGACATATATATCGATATATTTTTTCCCTTGCCATCCTTACGCTAGTCTTGAGATTAGGGATGTTCGATGATCATCGATGTCAAAAATGAAAACATAGATGTTTTAACGTCGATGTTTAACCCATAATCGATTATCGGGTACCTGCGAACACTGCGAACCCGCGAAATCAATATCAACTAAATCTTGCATCTCCTCTAAAATATTTAAAATTTTGGATAATTCAAAATTCTTGAACGCATCGATAACCTAAAAATATATCATTATGGTGAATCAAATTCAACTTTCAAGTGTCAACTGTAATGTCGCAGTTGTCACCGATTTCGTTTTGTTATTGGTGTCGATATTAGTTGTCTGTTTCTTTGTCGGTTGTTTTTAAAAAAAATCCGATGGTTGGTCTTAAACACGATTCAATGCACGTTTAGAAATGTTATTGATTCTACCTAATCTAAAATTAAAAAAAAAAACTTGCGGTAAAATATTTGACCACAATCGCTACATCAAAGCTATCTGAGCGGTGATCTACCGATTTCAAAAAGGACCACTAAAATTTTGAATATTTCTTGTTTCAAATTAATGTGTTTTAACAAAAACCAATTTGTTGGCACTTTATAATACTTTGTATATTTATTTTAATATAACAGACATATCTCTTAATAATATTTTATAATTGAATGTAGAAAGAGGCGTTGAGCCTGCAATTGTGTTATCAAAAGTCAAGAAAACTGTTTGTTCTTTTTTTAAATGTATGTTACCTCATAACTTTCTTTTTGGTGAACTGATTTCGATGATTATTTTTTTTAATTTGAAAGCTGGTATAAATTTGTCCCATATAAGTCTGACCAATAGTTTTTGAGTTATCCTTAATAATTTATATTGATGTCAGTTGTACAAATTTTTTATTTTTAAATTATTTTCAATAGCTGGCTCAACTATTTATTAACAGAGAAACAGATTTAAAGGTGCTTCTTCGTCAAAATTACTATTTCTTCAATCAATCGGCAAAAATATTGGACTATATAACAAATGTACTAGATATTTGTGAACTTCTTCCAATTTTTTTTTAAATTACTGTTTCCACTACATTGTTTAGTAATTTATTTCATTTCATTAATTATAAACCATAAACAACATGACAAGTTTTTATTCATCTAATTCTAACCTATTAAATACATGTCCAAAAAACATCGATAATGGCCAACATCGATGTTTTGAGTAGGATAAACATCGAACATCGATATTGAGCTATCGATGTCAACATCGATGTCATCATTGATGTTTCTACAACATCGACCATCCCTACTTGAGATGTAGACTAGAAAAATATCGATGTATCGATACATCGACATTATTTGCTCGGTGTATTTTTTGGTCTTAGATTAACCCAATGGACTTGCCTCACATGATTATTTCCCTCTGCAAAAGTATTATTGGATTGAAAAATCTTGTGCGTTTATAAAAACAGTTTACGAAATCGATTTTATCATTACAAGAATCGTTTCCACTCATAAAGCAACACGGGCCGCTGACGTACCGGATGGAAGGAGCCATACGCAGGCGTTCCCCTGGCGTATGGCTCCTTCGCCATGTCATATATGAACTTATGTTCATATATTATTAATTTAAATTAAAATTTTATTGGAGTTAAATTGTACCTATGTACTGTTGTAAAATCAACGTAAAGTCTGGTAAAGTCTCTATTTTTATGCATGTGGTGGCCGCCTATATGTAATGGGACATTTAGTTTTAATAAGTGTGATGTCATTCCATATGTATGTAACAGTGTACTCATTGTTGAGAGAGCCTAATCAAATAAATAAATAAATAAAAAATAAATAAAATATATGACATGGCGGCTCTATGTTTATAATAATACTAATTGTAACCGCACTGCTCACTAGACTTTTGATTTTCAGATGCGCGACTGAATCGAGGTCCTACAAAAATGCTAAATTGTTTAGGGTTTTTGCTGCAAAAAGAGATCTGCTACGTGAAACTTACAAAAAGATGGCGTTACCTTTCATATATAAGTATTCTTTATAATATTAGTAATATTTATTTCTTTTTAATCTTAAAACTTACAGTAATAAACAGTCCATAGTTGCCATAGTAACGGTCGTGTTGTTTCGGATTTGCTTACCACAACAGGCCACTCGCCCTCATACAATATACGGTTCGGTCGTGCGACTGATCTGAGCCTCTATTTGAGTTATTGCTGTCACCGTGCGATATTTTTGATGTAGCGGTTTGTAAATAGTTATTCATCATCATCATCATTACAGCCCGTCACAAGTCCACAGCTGAACATAGGCCTCCGCCAAAGAATGCCACAAAGCACGATCCCGGGACACCTGCATCCATCGACTTCCTGCATGTCTTACCAGGTCGTCACTGCATATAGCGGGGAGACGCCCTACACTTTGCCTGCCGGTACGAGGCTGCCACTCGAGAACCTTTCTTCCCGATCGGTTGTCGTTGTCGGTTCTTCGAGCTATATGGTCGGCCCATTGTCACTTCAGTATACTAATTCTTTGGGCTATGTCGGTTACTCTGGTTCTACTGCGGATACCCTCGTTTTTAAGTCTATCACGCAGAGACACCCAGAGTATAGCCCTCTCCACAACTCGCTGAGCGACCTTGAGCTTCCTAATACGGCCAGCAGTGAAGAACCACGTCTCAGATCCGTAAGTCATCACTGGCAACACGCACTGGTTGTACAATTTCGTTTTCAGGTTTTGAGGTATGTCTAACGAGAAGAGGTGTCGTAGTTTCCCGAACGCTGCCTAGCTGAGTTGAATCCGTCGATTGACCTCTCGGTCGAAGTTGGACTTACCTAGTCGGACTATTTGTCCCAGGTAAACATACTCATCAACAACTTCGAGCTTAGTGCTCCCAACAACTACCGGCATAGGTGTGACATGGACGTTAAACATGATATTTGTTTTGTCCATGTTCATCTTAAGACCTATCCGTTGGGAGACACTATTGATGAGCATAGTGCTTAGGTCCTCCAGCGATTCTGCCATAAGGACTATATTAAGACTAAATCGAAGGTGAGTGATGTACTCGCCATTGATGTTAATATCGTATCCTTTCCAGTCCAGGAGCTTGAAAACGTCTTCCAATGCAGCGGTGATGAATTTCGGGGATTTTACATCACCCTGTCTTACACCTCTCTGCAGTTGGATAGGTTTCGTACTCTGGTTCTGTACTCGGATAGCCATCGTAGCCCTACTATACAAACACTTCAACACTTCGATATACCGACAGTACACTTGGCATCGCTGGAGGGACTGCAGCACCGCTCAAATTTCGAGGGAATCAAAGGCTCATAGTCCACACACGCAAGACAAAGTGGCAGATTGTACTCTTCGGTCTTCTGTACAATTTGCCGAAGGGTATGTATGTGGTCTATGGTGCTAAAACCTTTTCGGAAACCGGCTTGTTCTAGAGGCTTCGTGAGACGATTCGTAATGACTCTCGAAAACATCACGTAGACGCGACTCAGAAGGGAAATCGGTCTGTAGTTCTTCAAGAGAGCGTTGTCGCCTTTCTTAAAGAACAAGACCACCGCACTTTTGCCCCACACCTCCGGAGTAGTGCCTCCATAGAGGACGGAATTAAAGAGCTTCTGAAGGACTTTAAGTACCGGTTTTCCACCCGCTTTCAGAAGCTTCGCTGTAATTCCATCCTCGCCCGGGGACTTGCCGTTTTTAAGGTGCTGGAGAGTCATTCTAATCTCGTTCAGACTGACGTCCGGGATATCATCGGAATAGTGTCGGATAAGATTTGCTCTTGGATCGTTACTCACACTTGCGTGTGGCTCCAACGATGACGTGTACAGCTACTCATAGAACCTCTCAATCTCAAAGGCTTTTAAAAAAATACTTCGCAAACATCCGCACATAGTAAAAAAGTAAATATTTTTAAAAGCTTTTATATAATGGATTTCCGCAAAGTAACGCCTGAGTCTATTAATTGCTCTCAATCTCACTCAAAATCTCAGGAGTCTCGGAAACGATGCTGCCATATTCAGTATTCAGCTTCGATAGTTTGCACTTTCTGGCAGACAGATCTCTGGCAAAGACTTTAGAGCCCTGGTTCTGCTCGATCGCTTCTTCAATACGAGCAGTATTAAAGTTGCGTAAGTCCCGCTGCATGCATTTGGAGATCTGTCTGTTCAGTTGCCTGTATGCTATGACAATCTACTGAAGACTGCAGCTTCATTACCCGTCTAACAGCCATGAGATTAAGAGTGTGATCGGAGAGTTTTTGTGATCTGCTGTGGCGGGTCTTGCAGAACTTAACTCCGACCGCATGGATAGTTTCCACGAGCTTATCATTCATATCGTCCACTTCATTGCAGTCTTCGAGGCACTGAAAACGGTTTTGTAACTCGAGCTGAAAGGTTTCGGGACTTTGGAACAGAGCACGAGGGGGACGGAGCGTTGACTTCACTAGACGAGACCTCTCCAACTTAACGTTTAGGTTCAGTGTGCTTCTAACCATTCGGTGATCGCTACCAGTTTTCACCCTCGCGATCACGGAGACATCACTGAACAGTTGTCGTCTGGTTGTCATAATAAAGTCAATCTTATTTTTTGTCGTACCGTCGGGGATCGACCA